AGAACAAAAATGCATTACTACAAAGTCTCTTGGCAATGCAGAAGCTTGTTAACTTACTTCCAGACATCAAGTAGATTCCATTAGGATCCACAGCTAAGCTTGTGACAGCATCCAAATGAGCAACCATCGAATGGATCATTTTACCTAATATCAATGCACATAATATATGTGAAGAATAATAATCATAATTTTTAATAAAATCATACTTTATTAAAGGGCAAAAATAATAATATGTTTGGAAGAAAAACTAGAGTGTAATACAGAATTTAAACATAACTGACATGCAACAATGATAATATCAAAAGAAAGGTATTAAATTCATAGTGAACATAACAATTAGAAAAAACTGGCACAAGATGTTTTGCTGATGGTGTATTACTTCAGTATTGATTGCTAAAAGAGATAAGCCATTCTCTAAAAATGCTGGAAATTGGAGAGAGTGAAAGAGATGACTTTGGAAAACTATGCAGCAACAATTTACAAAAGTATGTTTTTGTATCTGGCACTGCATGATTTCTCCAAAGTCATTTCCGTGGCTGTCCACAGAAATATTATAATCAGGTTGGATCATTTTTTCTTATTTGGTGACAATGCTGTAATGTAAAGCACAACAATTCTGGAAAATGATTACCAAATCAAGGAAATTCTAAAAGTTAAATTCTCTTTTCAACCAACTACTTTTAAATTAAATATTAGCAAACCTCATATTGCCACAAAGCATACCAAAATGGCAGCTGTGCTTATAGCTGCTAGGATACACTATTTTTTTCATTGGAAATTATGTATAATCCTTTCTGTAGAAGAACAGCAAATTAAGTTGTGGAGGTATAGTATGTTTGATATTTGAGTTGTGGAATGTCACAAATAACCTTATATTTGAAAACAAATCTGATACAGAATTCATCAGAGAAACCATTCCTAGATTATAATTGTATTATAATTTTATATAGGCTTAGACTGTATCTTTAGTTTGAGTTTCTTCTAATGTAAGATTTTAACATTTAAGTTTCTCTCTGACTTGTTAAATAACAATAGAATACTTAGATGAGGCAGAAATTGTAATCCCTCATCTTGATTTATAATTTATTTTATACTACTTTGATGTTAATATTGATCTGAAGTTTTAAATTGATATAAGATATTCTAATACACAGAACCAAATGAATGTTACTTTGAAATGCTTATTGAATATTATAATGCTTGTAAATCTCTTATTTACCTTTTGCTTTTCCTACTTTTCTTTTTTCTTGTTTTAAAATATTAAATAAAATACCGGGGGGATGGGGGGGGGGAGATTCATATTTTGAAAAGGCTAAACAGCCAAACAAATATGTAAGAGAAAGAAAGTAATTGTTTACTAGATTACTCTAAGTAATTCAGCTTTCTGTTTTCAACAGAATCCAGCTAGAAATTTCTCTAATCCAGAACCATGATTTATCCATTAGTATGCTCCTGAATCTGTAGCATTTAAAGGAAAGTGTTAAGGCACCAGCTAATATAACATTTATCTTCTTTTGTAACGTTCTAGAATAGAATAGAAACTTTACTGATTTTGTCATCTGACCATATCAAAAGTATAAAATCAATACGAGTAAATACAAAGAAAACAGTAGGACATATTCATAATAGGTCATCACCCCTACACTCAACCCCTCTGAACTAAATAGTGTGTCCTCTTCAAAATGGCCCTTGATATAAAGAGTGCAGTCTTACTAGTGATATGCAGGTTTGTTCCCTGCAAAAAGTAAGACAGTTTCTCTTGGGTGCTCCAGTATTTTTTAGTTTTTAAATAAGAATCTAAGTAAACAGTCCTTTCTGTAGAATATAATTTGCAATCAAAGAAAACTGTATAATATCTTCAACAGGTGGTGCACCACAGATACATAGTCTTTCTTCAAATGGAACTCCATGAAACCTCCCATATCTTACCATGGAGTGTAGCTGCTCAAAACAAGCTGCAGAAAAAGCTCCTCTAAGATGTTGAGGCACATAAGTTTTTAAATACTTTCAAATGGGGAGGCTGATTTGTGTTGAGCCAGCCACTTCAAGGACTTAATGTGTTTAACAGAAGCAATATCATCTTGGGCAGCCACATCCATGACCCTTTGTTTGAAACTTTTCTTGGTCTTCAGATCTGATTGGACTGGGTATTGAATGGAGAATTTGAAAGTTGGGCAGCCTAAGCATGAGGAGGCATATTATGCAACTGCTGTTCAAAACAAAGCATGGGTAATCTATCTGGGTCCATAAATAAGATCTTCAGCCAACAGTTGAATACTTTAATTACTAGGTGGGTTTATTTTATTTATTTATATTTCAAATTTGTCACTGCCCATCTCACTACAGAGCAACTCAGGGTGGTTTATATAGGGGATATACCCAACTATAACTATGTCCCCTTACTGCTGGAATTGATGTAGACTTCTCCACCCCCAAGATATATTTCAAGAAAGTGGACTGTAGCTATTCCAATAAGGGGGCATTTATACTGTATATCCCCACACTTCTGTGCCATATATAATCATTGGGACTATTTTGCTGTTATATACCTTTATGATTGGAATTAAAGAACCTGGATAGTTGTGGTTGGTGAGCTGCCTTATGCCACTGGCACAGACTGTAGCCCTTAAAGAATTCCTCTTAAAATGTGGGAGCCAAGAACCTGTTTCTGTAAAAACAAGTCCTAAGTATAGATAGGACTTAACCTGATCTGTATGTTCCCTATCTAGGCTCCAGTTATAATTAGTCCACCTCTTCCCGAAATCAACTACCTTGGTCTTGGATTTATTGATGTTCAGATAGTTTAGTGCACAGTATTAATTAAACCTACACAGCAGTTTTCTCATCCCTACCTGGGTGTATGACTTCAATACCATGTCATCTACGTAAAGCAGAATATTTACATGTTTATTTTTTACTTTAGGCATATGCATATCAGTTGAATGAAGGGACTTTGGGATATCGTTAACGTACAGATTAAACAAAATGGGAGCCAATATAAATTTTTGTCTGACCCCTTTATTGGTACTAATTATCCCTGTTAGGAAACTACAGTGGTACCTCAGTTCACGAACTTAATTCGTTCCATGACTCTGGTCGCGAACCGAATCAAATTTCCCCATGAGGTTCAATGTAAATAAGGTTAATCCGTTCTGATCCCTACGAACATGGTTGCCAACAATTTTGGCCGCCAACTGAATCAAATTTTCCCATAAGGTTCAATGTAAATAAGGCTAATCCATTCTGAACCATATCTATTTTTTTTTTAACCATCTTTATTCTTCAAAATAGTCGAGATTGTCAACTTCGCCATCTTGTACTCCAAGGTCAGATTAGTCACACGAATACCACATTCATGGTTTTCTACAATTTCCTTCTTCAATTCAATGGTTATTTTCTTCAAAACCTTCTTCTTACCATTCTTGCTCTGCACTTTCTTGTTACCTTCATTATTGCTCTGCACATTCTTGTCACCTTCATTACTGTTCTGCACATTCTTGTCACCTTCATTACTGTTCTGCACATTCTTGTCACCTTCATTACTGTTCTGCACATTCTTGTCACCTTCATTACTGTTCTGCACATTCTTGTCACCTTCATTACCGCCCTGCACTTTCTTTTTACCACCATGCTTGCTCTGCACTTTCTTTGGAGCCATGCTGGATGTACTGTATGTGCTAAAATATCTCCATCTCTGTGAAGATGGCTGGTGGGGTGATTGGTTTTGGCTCCCCTCTGAGCATCTTGAAGGCTTTTAGTGTTAAAATATACAGGGGAGTTTTAGGACA